GCTAACTTCTCCGATGGCAATATAAGAAAATAGAGTTTCGAAAAACATATGGTCACATCTGGGCAGAGTGATGTTCTTTTAATTTAGTGAAATATTTAATTATTTTATTAGAAGTTGTTTTTACATTGTTGGTAAGAAGGTAAGTTTGAATTAATATGCAAATTATTGTCGAATTCAGAAAAATAAGTCCTATTTAGTTGGGGTGGTATTTGCATTTGAAAATTTTTAATGCGAGTTAATCTGTAAAAAATTGCGTTGTAATTAAAGAATTTTTATACAGATATATTATTGTTTTTTCTCTTTATTCACCACGCAACAGCTCCATTTAACAACTGCGTCAAACCATCAAGTTAGTTTTCAATTATAAAAGTAGACAAAGGCATGGTTCTGTTTTTTTTTTGTTTTTTTTTCGTTCTTTCCATTATATATGGTAACTTGTTTGAAAAATTGAGAGGGAGAGAGAGAAAAAAAGAAGAGAAAATCAAAACTTAAGAGCGATGGTTTCAATTTGTTTTAAGATAAAGCTAGCATTACAATGTCCGAGATCGTTTTAAACTCATACACTCGTAACATATGGTCACCATCCATTTATAGTTTATAAATTAAACCAGCGAGCTAGAGGCTCACAAGTCATAATAATTGGCTGTTTTTTGTGGAGTAAAATTTGGTTTCTGAATTGAAACTAACATTAAAGGTACCGATCACTACCTTATGTGCAAAACACACTTACGCACAAATAACTGATGTCTATCCGCTGGATTCACCAACAAGTAAACGGAGAAAAGACGAGTATCGCTATGAGTTCGTTGTACTACCAGTTGTTTCTTTTCTTCTGTTTCTATGTTGCTGTTCAGGCTCCATACAAAGAAGGCGATATCATGTTGGGCGGACTTTTCAGCGTGCTCAAGCCGCCAGACAACCCAGGGAGCCGATGTGGAGAGTTACATTTGAGAGAACTTGGTCGCATGCAGGCCATGATCTTCGCAATCGAACGAATAAATAATGACACAAGTCTTCTCTCGAACATTTCCCTGGGATATGACATAAGGGATTACTGTGGAAACCTCTCAAAAGCTGCAAGACTTGTTTACAAACTTTTAACTGTTGATACTTGTGTAAATGTATGTCAAAATGCTACAAGAAAGAAAGCCATCATTTCTTTAATAGGCCCGTACGAATCTAGCACAGCGCTATTCATTGGTGGAATTCTTCGGATGCTCAATTTTTCGAGCATTAGCGGATCAGCTACTAGTGCTGAACTTAGCTCACTTGCCTATGACCATATATTTCGAACAGCACCCTCGGACCAGTTTCTTGCAAAAGCGATGGTTGACTTGGTTACACACTTCAATTGGAGTTATGTTGCTGTCGTTGGACTAGATAATTCGTATGGACGAAATGGAGCATGGGCAGTTGTTAGCGAAAGTACGTCAAGAAAAAGCTCGTTCTGCATTGCTTTGACACAGTTTGTACGCCACGAAAGTCTGAATCGGAGTATTTCGAATATAGTTAGACAGCTTAAACAGATGGACAATGTCAAAGTTGTGATCTTATGGTTATACGGAAATTACCAATCGAAGTTTTTGGCAGAGGTTAAGAGGCAAAATCTAACTGGACGTGTATGGATTTTGAGCGAAGCTCCTTTAACTTCCACACTGACAGTAGAAGGTATTCTCGAGAGCTCTTTAGGATTCGCACTCCATGAATTCAGCGACTCCGGCTTCAAGGAATATTTAAAAGATAGATTGGTCAAGGAGAAAGACAATAGAAGTTTTCCTGAATGGAACGACAGTACAAGCGAAATATGGAAGCTTTTGAGGAGCAAGAAGTGTGTTCATCGCCAAATTAAGCAGTGCTCTAACGACTTAATTAAAAAAATCTACAACGCCAATGTTCCGTGCATCATCGACGCCGTATATGCCGTGGCACATGCACTAGATATTTTCTATCGAAATTTTAGCCATAACGAGACCAAAGATCGGAGGAAATTGCAGATAGCCTATAGCTCTGACGTGCAGAAGCTTCTTGGTAGAGTTAGTTTTCACGGACTAACCGGAAAAATCAAGTTCGATCGATTTGGTGACATGGCCTCGGCGTATTATGACATTTTCAGCTTTGAAAAAGTATCTAATGGAGATGTTGAGAGCATAAAAATGGTGCGAAAAGGAGAATGGAACAATTCAAAGAGGAACGAAACTAGCTTGATATTTCATGAAGCTCTGAATTGGACGACTACATCTGGTCGCCCCCCGAAATCTGAATGCTCGGAGCGGTGTCTTCCTGGAACAAGGAAATCTTTCACCTCTCCTTGTTGTTGGCAGTGCCTTCCGTGTCTTGGTGGAACCATCAGCCCATCCGCTGGTTCTGAAAGCTGCAGTGAATGCCCTTCCGGAACAATGTCCAACCAGGCTAAAACAGAGTGTGTCGCTTTACCCTCCGCCAACATAAGTTATAGTAGTGCGAGTGGAATTGTAATTCTTACCTTTGCTACGCTCGGTGTAGCTGTTACCTTGCTTTGTCTGGCTGCCCTCCATAAATTCTGGAATAGTCCCATTGTCAAGGCTTCAAATCGAGAACTAAGCCTTGTTCTTCTACTCGCAATTCTGTCCTTATTGTCTTTGGCATTCATAGATGTCTCTGTGTCCACTAATACAATTTGCATGATCATATACCCGCTACGTTATCTGACCTATAACTTCTGTCTCTCCATCTTACTGGTAAAGGCGTTGCTTATTTCCAGTGCTTTTCAGGTTCCCATTTTGACCAGTTTGGAATTCACATCTCTTCCAAACAAAGCACAAGTTGGAATCGTCATAACATCTCTAACTCCACTGTTGTCGGTGTTGCTACCGTGGATGCTTTTGGATCCACCTTCTAAAAAGGAACACATCCATCCAAAACGTTACACCTTTAATGAATGCAAGGCATACTCCAGCTCAGTTGGAAAGTCTCTATTCTTGGTAACATGCTTTTATATTTTCTTCCAAATGCTTCTGTCCTCGTTCTGTGCCTTTAAGATTAGGAACGTTCCTGAAAATTTCAGTGAGGCCAAACGAATCGCTTTTTCCACCTACATATTTTTGTTCTCATTGCTTTGTTATCACCCAGTAGAATTGTGCTTGGATGGATGGTATGTAACGGTTGTGGATTGTGTAGCAACTCTGTTGAGCGCGTATGGCTTCCTTTGTTGTCTGTTTTTGCCCAAAATGTATATTCTGTTCTTTAGGCAGGAGATGAACGATGTGAATGCCATCAGACAAGAAGTAACTCAGTTCTCGGTTAGATCAGGTTTTGTACGTGCAAACCGTGCTTTTGATAGTTTTAATTAGCGAGCTAAATCGTACAATAAGCTTTCTTAAGATCGGTGATTTTGTACCAGTGTGCCATATGCTTCTTAATAAACAAAAAAAAAATTATTGAAGAAAATATAAGCTTTTAATGAGCACTGCATTACAAATATAGGCTTTAAGGCATAAAAACACCTATGGTTGCCATGGATTGTTTCTTTTTATGTTCTCAGGATGGCTTAGTTATCGGGAATTTTAAATTTGCTTCCCTGATGGCATGGAAGGAAATATTATTTAAGAATACAAATGGCTACGAAAGCACGAAATAATAAACAGACATTTTGCATTTTTCATTTGCATTTTTAATCTTCTCTCTTAATTGAATATTTCTTTGGCATCTGTGGTTGGATTCGACTTTAAGCCTATTCCTTATTTATGGACTAATTTCCACATATTAGCCCTTCCCTCACACAAGGTAAAGAGTCCTTTTATATCCTCGTCCAGCCATTTCCTTTTCCTATTTCGGGACTGAAGGAAAAAGCATCTATGACCTGAGCCAAAAGCCTTGTCTTGTTTTTTAGCAGCAAAACTTATTTCCGCAACATATGCTGCTTGCATGACTAATTAGACACTTTGCCTCCACAATGATGTTTCCAAGTTTAGCCAAGTCTTTGGGCAGATGCTTAGATAATTAAACTGCATGAGGATGAGAGTGGTCTTCGCTGCTATGAACACTAGCTACTTAAGCAGTAACTAAATAAATTGTGAAAAAAAAAAAGGAAAAAAAAGAGATGACTTTCTGTGCATGAATTGGGAAGGAAATGAACGATGCGAATAGCATCAGACAAGAAGTCACTCAGTTCTCGTTGAGTTCATTTAAGTTGTGTAGGCGTAAACCCTGCTTTTGATAGCTCTAATTAAGAAGCTGAATCGTACAATTTGCTTTCTTAAAATCATTTTGTTATTTTGAGTTGTGTCAATGGAGGAAAATTCATTTTATTAACTAACACTGTATTGTAAATATATATTACTTGACTTTTGATAAAAATCACCAGAAATACTAGTAAAGATCGTCCCTTGTTATGTTTGCAGGATGGCTTATCTGGTTGGAGGTTTTGCTTCCCCGATGGCTAAGAAAGGAAGCATTGCGGTTGAGGAAGACAAATGGTCACGTGTGCGCTGAGTAATGGAGTGACTCTTTGCATTTTTAATCTTCCTTTATGACAACATACCAGGGAGTCTTCAGAAACTGCATTAGACAAATTTTTCTTCCCTTATACAAGCTAACAAGTAACTATCTCCTCTTTCAATAAAGGTCTAGCTAGCTTCTCCGATGGCAAAATATGAAAACATTGTTTTCAAAAACATAAGGTCGCATCTGGGCAGAATGATGTTTCTATTAAATTTCTGTCTTACAATTATGTGAAATATTTATTTATTTATTTTATTGGAAGATATTTATACACTGTTGGTACAGAGTCTCAGTGGGGTGATGGCTTTTACGGCTACCGGTTAAAATTTTGGCCAATTTACGGTAAACGGTTAACACCTTTCCATTGTTTCCACCATACATATTTTTTACAGTTAACTTTTTTTACGACTAATGTTTAAAATTTGTCAATTTTTTGGCTGTATTACGGTTAACGATTAACCCAGTGGAGACCCTCTTGGTAAGAAGGTACGTTTGAAAATTATTGTCAAGTTCAGAAAAATAATTTCTAATTAGTTGGAGTGGTATTTGCATTCGAAAATTTTTAATGCGTGATAATCTGTAAAAAGTTGCTTTGGGCTAGTCTAGTTTCGAATTGCTTGTGCGAGATAGTCTGGTAACTAATTATCAGCACCAAGCCGAGGCTGAGTGGAATACGCGCTTATTTTGAAAGCAAGATTGGAGTGACTCTAAGTCGAATATGAAGATTTTGTCCGATCCTGAAACAGCAACACAAGGCTCACAACCAGTCCTGGAGCCCGCGAGTCCATTCCAGTTTGACGGACAACTTGCTGTAGACAATGAATGGGAAGGGAAGGATGAAGGAAAAGGAGATAAAAATACACATTTTTAATCTTATCATGTATGGCTTGATAGCAAAGTGTGGGGGTTAACATCCTAACTCCCTGGAAACATTATCACATTAGTTGTTATACCAATAGAAATATCTTATCCAGCCAGCAGTTCGCGAGAATTGACAATCTAATAAGCTCAGTAGATGGTGTTTCCTTCATAAAACACATTATTCTCTTCACAAATCTCCGAGGAAGTCTGTAACAGCTAGGAGAGAAAATTAAGGACTAGGTCAAGGAAGTGTAAGGCTAAGAGATACCGTCATATGACCCGCAAGGCCCGGTATACGCTCCATGTAAAAACTTAATGTAAACATCCCCGTAAGAGGGCCGAGGGCAAAAAGCTTAAAATCATATGAAAGGATGAGCACCAGGTCTCGCTTTGAAAATGATGCCGACGGTGATTCGGAAATGGTCTATTACATTTTTTACATTTTGAAGTGTTCCCCTCGCTTGTAATTTGGTGAGGACATATGCATTGTGTTTTTTACTACGTTAAATAATATGACATTTATTTACCAACTGACAGTGCCCTTGAAGTAAGAGAAGCGCATCCGACAAGGCAAATTTGAGGATTTATGCTGCTGAGGATCGAAGAAAAGGAAAGGCAAAAAGCTCGCGGAAGAGATTTACCAATGATGTTTCTATAACAGTAAGATAATTACATTTCCTTCTCTCTTTTAAAAAGATGTTAATTTATTCTGATTTTCTAATGTAAATAGCGAAGTCTTTTTGGCAGGTGTAAAGGCTATTGCAACTCTTAGATAAGGGCTGTGAAAACTGAAAACTTTCTTACACCAATCAACCGGAATGCTCGATAAAAATTGATAGAAAAATTTCACATTCAGTGGGATAGTAATAAAAAATGAAGAAGCTAAGGAGATTTGCTTTCGATTTTATCAGTTGTTTTTAGCTGACACACGGCTTCGATCTACTTTAACCAAACTTCCGAGATAAATCCGGTAGTCGTCCTTAATTGGTTTTTAAAGCCCTGGTTTTCATGTTCTCGTTTTGATGTTGTGTTAGCAGATCAACTTCAAAGGTAGCTGTCAAAATTAATTGATGTCATTCACTCTAAAATTAAGGATAGCCGTAGCCTGGAGAAGTAACAATAAAGAAGAAAAAATTCTTCAAACTATCCTAAACACCTATCTGGCGCAGTCTTTTTATCATCGCAATGGGAGATTACTTCTCAAATTTGACCAATTATTTGGTCATTAATTTGACGGATAAAATTACCTCAAAACCAGATCGGCGCTCAGCATGACATAAAGTGCTAAATAAGATGAGTTCTCATTTATTATCATATTTGTTGATTTGCTTTTCTTTGCAAAGGAAATTATTAAAAATTTTACTCACAAATGAACCGACAGCTGAAGGTTGCTTCAAAAGAAGACAGTGTTATGTGTGTTCTTTCTAGTTGGTTACAAATCTGTCTTTGTTAACGTCGCTCACTGAATAAAAACGAAAGATTCGCCGGCTTTCAAATTAAAAGATTTACTATCTATATTTGCTTAGTGACGATCAAAATTGACGATGAGGTTAGGTTAGCCGTGAAGCCGTAAGCCATTCTTTAATTAGTGCTTCAATTCTAACAATATTGACTCTTTTGTCATCTCGTTTTCGTTTTGCAAGAAGACATGCTGTCAAACCTTCAGAGAGCTTTTCGCCAGCACCTGCGTCTTAGACATACAGAGAGGAAAAACTACAAAGGAATCAGCAGTTGCGCGCAAGAACTGGCAAAGTTTGCTTAAAATTCTTACTTGGAAGAACAGCATTCACACCAAATATGGTACCTTTCCGCGGCAGAAACGCAAAGTAGTAACGAAATTTTAAAATCAAGGAAAGATTTCACCCGAGAAGACTGAATCCAAATCTTCTTGACGAGAAAGGTTACAGCACTTATCTTCTCTCTCAGGCCGGCTGAAGCACTGACAAAACCCAAAAGCTGTAATCGTTCAGTTGTTGTAGATCAGAAGCATGAGCGTCGCATATAGAAAGAACAACATGGAAAATGACACAAAGTCCGAAATGGCTGATCTTGGCCCTGCAGTTACAATTGTCGAAACCTGCGTTTGTCTTCTTTTGAACATCATATCACTAAACGGGAACTTTTTGGTGTGTTTAGCTGTTTATAAAAACTCGCGCTTGCGAACTACGACCAACATTTACATTATCGGACTGGCGCTAACCGACTTACTTTCAGCTACGTTTGTGATGCCATTCACTTCTGGTGTCCTTATAACCCGAAAATGGCCGTATGGAAATCTCTACTGCAACATACAAGCGTTTCTGGTCAACTTTGGACTATTCACCTCTACTTCGATCATGGGACTCACAGCCTTCAACAGATACGTAAGAATTGTTCATACAAACAGATACAATACTACATTTTCGAGATTTAAATCTCGTATTACACTAGCGTCGTTGTGCGTGATCATAGCCTCGTACATCGCAATACCAGGCTTGACTGGATTGCAAAATTTTGAATTTGTTCCTGAGTATGCCACCTGCCATATAACACATGCAAGTGAAGAAGTCATGATAGTTCATTACTGCGTTGTCGTATTTTTCTTTCTGGTTTTTCCTTTCAGTTTGGCAACATTCTGTTACGTCAAAGTGTTTAGGACTATTAAGCAGCATAATCTCGAAGTTGCACCAAATTTACAATCGAGAATTCGCGACGCTCAGATCACTACCCAAGAGATAAAAATTTCAAAATCTCTTTTTGTGGTAGTGTTAGGATTCGGAATGTGTTGGATACCCGCATGGATTCTAGCTTTGATAATGCGCTTTCGCGCTTTTCCATCTTTGCCTAGAGAATTTTTCCTCATTCACACCGCCCTAGTTTTCCTAAGCAGCTCTACTAATGTATTCATTTATGCAGGAATGAACAACTCGTTCAAAGCAGAATTTCGACGTTTGCTATCTTGTGAAATTCGTGTCAAATTATCTGCCAAGGTTTCTCCGAATTTCGGCGGACGAAGACCCGTCGAACTACGCTTTCCGTAAATTCAGCGGATAACCCTGCGTTTGTGATTTAGTCAGTTGGGTGAGAATCGTATGATTTCAAGAAGGCTAGAAATTTAAAATTTGAAGCAGTGACACTAGTCAAACAGATGATATCTCCAGATATTTTGTGGCTAAATGAAGGTAGAAACTTAGTTGTCATGCTAATGACTAATGTAACTGGTGCCTTTATCGGCTCTGTTCACACAGTCAAATGAGAAAGGTCCTCAGTAACCATTTCATTATTAGAGTTTAAAAGATTTAAGTTATTAAGTCTGTTATAAATTTTATGATCTTATGTTTAAATTTTTTAAATGAAAAATATGAAATTAGAAGAACACACTGAAATATTTGTTTTCTAACTCGCCTTGTTATCAGTTTACTGCCAAACTAGACAAGTATATTTACCGATCGGTCTTGCTGTCCAAAGATCCATGGTCTAAGTTGTAAGAAAAAGGAAAATTAATTTTCAAAAAAAGAGAACGTGTATGGAAATAAACAAAAACGATGTCACGCGTATAAACTTTTCTTTTGATTTCTTAAAGCTAAAAACTAACTGTATTTTATTTGTAATTTTTATTGTATGTAGGGGCAGGCTTTCCACTGTAAAATGACAATATTTAGAAAAGACTTTGAATTAACCCTTTGATTGCTAGCTTGAAGTGCGAAAGAGATAATTCTATCTTAAGTTAGCACCAAAATTATTATCATATGTTAGATCCATGGAAACCGCAGTAATAACAATGATAAATTGAACGATAATTACTTGTCAAAGTAAGCTCTCTTATGAAAACATATATGATATCAGAATCAAAAATTTTCTGAACAGGAAATGCTTGCGTATCACTCATCTACTAAAGTTCTCCATGTTTTTCTGTAAAAATTGATTTTTTTTTTTGTCATTTTTGTTACATAATTATAACCTCAGGTCTGATATGTCTTTCAGACACGCTGTGAAGGAGCGTGGTTTGGTGGACCAACCGAGTTTAATGCCTCGGTGCGTTGACATATTTACCTAGGCCTGTTATATGTGCATTAGGAAAAACTGGAAATGAACAATCAAAAGATAAAAGATTGTACCTAAAGCTAAATGGAATATCCATTTCTCTTGTACTAAAAGACAGGTCCCTTTCGTATTAGACGTAAATTAATTTAACCATCTCGTTTCCAGCGAAAAAAAGAGGGACGAAAATCGAGAGCAATATTGGAAGCTGAATGGTATCAAAAATAGTGCTGGTACTTGTAATAGCCGGACAGCGTTTATAAGTGCAATGCTAGTAGGATTGTGCGGAGTGCCAGATCGGTCTGTATTCATTCTAGTTATTAAAAAAATCAAACGACAACAGCAACTTGTGTTTACGATTTATTATAGTTATGGCTCAAATTAACATACAGATATGACCAAATACGCATTTCCGCAAAATGGTTCAGCGAACAAAAATAACCATGATGAAAAATGAAGGCTGAATATTGGAAACCGAAGACCCTTTTTCTTCTCTACATTTAAAGCTTATCGTTACGTACAATTTCAAGTTATTTATCAATGATGATATACACCACTCCTTCTTTCATTCAGCGATAACCGTTCAAATACACGGACATCTGTAGGATCAAAACCCTAATCAAATCTGGAAGACAGCTGGGTTACTTCTTGATGATAGAGAAAATTTCTCTTTGTTGCGCTGCGAACTTGAGGCGTTGAAGTCCCGTCGAAGCATTATAATTTTTTAATAAAAAATTAAACTTACATACCCTTCTATGCTTTCTCGACTTTACTTTCTGCTAAATCACTGTTTCTACGGATTTACACTTACATTTAACTGAATTAAGCATCTTTGCCCAGTAGAATATCGTGCAATTTTTAAATTCAATATCAATCTTTCCTTTCTGTGACTTTCAGAAACGGTAGAGCAAGAATAACTACTCCCTCAAATTCCCAAGAATCCATTGGCAAATTTCTGCTAAACTTTGAGCCAATCTGTTTAAAATGGGAAGAAACATTTACCCTGAATTTGCAGTTATAAATAAAGCATTTGCTTAAGTTCAAGCTAATCACTTTCAACCGAAAAGAGACTTCACAGAATGGTCATGTAATTGGTAAACTTTTTGCTTCTTTCCTGTAAATCCTAATATTGAGGAAATATCGTTAGGCATTAATCCTTTAAATTGCATCCAGCATTCCGCTTTATCTTGAATCAGTGACTGAGATAAATTGAATTAGTTTCAATTTCTTGTTTTAGTATTTCTCGTTCAATGTTTCTATAATTTTATGTTGTTGCTGATACCAAGTCTGGAGATGTAACGAAACAACGTCTGAAAACAGAAAATGTAAATGAGAGCAAAGTGACAATACGGTAAATTCGAGGATACACCGTGGAGAATATTACAAGAATATACAGTGACTGTACTGAAAGCCAGCGGTTGTTTGATTTATAGAAAAGGAATTAAGTTCACACTATGATACACCATATCTAACAATCGGTCCGCCATCTTAAAATAAGACGCATGCTCTCCCCAGACTCCTATGGCCGGGCTAACACCACAAAAATTGTGTTATGAATCCCCACAGTATTCATTTCCTTGCCTTGGATATTCACGAGTTAAAACAATGAGTGATATTTGGTCAAATGAGAATAACGCGTCAAATTTCTCAAACTAGCAAGCGCCCGGTCATGAGAGGACCACAATTTCACCACCAAGATCGCACCTGAAAATACTGTTACATTATTTATGAATTTGGACGACACTTTTTGTTCGATTAATAAAGACTTCCATAATTAGTTTAGTCAGTTTAGTAACAAGGATTGAAATAAAACGAAATATAACACAGTTGAAGAGTTCATTGATTTATTTTGATATTGCACCACACTGATCTGTGTATCATTATCTTTTTTGGAGAAAATTAGAACTACAGAAATCTCTAGGGAACAAATACAAAAAGCTATATTTAAGTGGAAATGACAAAAGCTGTCATTCTTCCTCAAATTAAAAAACCGAACTGTATATTGCAACAAGGCGGAGTACAATGATCGCACCTGAAAATACTGATACATTATTTATGAATTTAGACGACACTTTTTATTCGATCAATAAAGACTTCCATAATTAGTTTAATCAGTTTAGTGACAAGGATTGAAATAAAACGAAATATAACGCAGTTGAAGAGTTCATTGGTTTATTTTGATATTGCACCACACTGATCTGTGTATCATTATCGCGTTTAGAGAAAATTAGAACTACAGAAATCCCTAAGGAGCAAATACAAAAAGTTATATTTTGGTGGAAATGACAAAAACTGTCATTCTTTCTCAAATTAAAAAACCGAACTGTATATTGTAACAAGGCGGAGTACAATTCCACCACCAAACCAAACTTGAAAAGTTGGATATAGAGAGACAGTTTCCATGATGTTCGAAAGACACGTTTTACACAATCAGCCATGAGTACTTGTTTCTCCTTATCAACAGCAAAGAAGAAAAATATTCGGCAGTTGAGGTTTTTTTTTAAATTTATTTTGTTCCTTTTTCCTACATCTTTGATATTTTGGACCTTTTTTAAGCACTAGACTAACATTAAGACGACGTTCCTTAGAATATCGCTATGGCAATCTGAGAATATTTTTTGTTACCTAATACTTCCCTTTCAGCCTTAGTTCTAAAATTTTCAGAGACAAATTAAACTTATTTCAAGAAGTAGAAGATATTATCCCTTTGCGCATGATAGTACATGTGTAAATCATTTTTAGTATGGAAACTATTTTCAAGAGTGATTTTCTAAAACCCAACCGCAAGGTAAATAGTAGATTAAACTTTACTCTGAAAGAATCGTTTTTAATTTTGTAAATTGGTCAACAGGAACCACTATGCATTTTGAAGAACTATACCGTGTAGAACAAGGCCTAGTAGACACATCATGCATGGGAGAATTATTTTCCTGTTCCATTTATCTTTTTTTTTGGCGCTGGTAGAGCACAGCTAGCTAATTAGACACTAGTTGACCGCTTTAAAAAACTGGGCTACGAAGCCTCACTTGCATGTGAGCGAGGCAACTCTTATCCGTAGAGGAATTTGTTCTCAATTTTCAATGATACAGTCGAACCTGTTATAATCGGTCACCAACAGGGAATGGCGAGTTGACCGCTTGATAAAGGCTCCACAGATTAGAGGTATTGCGAAAAACGACCCACAAAGCCAAGCCACTTTATTCCATAATTGACCACTTTATACACTAAATCTCGCTCAAAAATATTACTGTGATTTTGGAAGAGAAACATGGATTAAAAACTACTTGAAAGATTATTCTTATTTTCATTTGAGTGGTTCGACTTTAAATGATATTTCATACAGGTGGAAGATGATACAAACAGGCCATTATGACTCAGTAAAGGATGATCGCTCAATAGAGGTGACCGTTTAATAGAGGTGAAAATTACAGTGATAGTTTTGGACCTTTGGTAACCGATTGCTTGACACGGGTGCCGCTTAATACAGGTTCGACCGTTTAAATTTTATTTGACCCGCGGATGAAATCAAGTAAAGAAATGATTCTGGCTGTTTGACTGTATTAAGCAATATTCTGAGATAAATGAGACATATTTTGGCGTAAAGTGGACAAAGTGTCATTTACCTTTAAGTAATAAAGTCACCCACCCTCTTTTCACGGAGGCTACAATTCCGACCTCCACTAAAGATGATGAAATATCCCTGAAAATACTGGAACATTATTCATGCATCAGTTAGCAAATCTTGTATTACCCAACTATTACAGCTTATCAACAGCTTTGAAATAAACCAAACAATTTGTGCGGATAAATTGTCTTATTGTGTGACAATGGCACTTTAATCTTTGGTAAAGAACTTACACAAAGTGTCGTTGATAGTGAAATAATGTATGGTTCATTTTCGGCGCCAGGTTCAAACTTTTTAAGGGAAAAATGATGTTTTACCTTAGTTTATTTTGAAATTGTTTTAATTCCATAAAAATCTCATAAGACGAAAGAAAAGGAATATAGCTAAAGTAATAAAACTATAAGTAATAATTGATCAAACAAACTATCAAGGGAACTGGTGCCTCAGTAGCAAGCCATAGGCTGTGGAATTCATAACAATTATGTCACCGTAGACTTCACCTTATTAAACGTACATAAACAGCTGAGAACCATTCGATTGCCGTTCATCATTGTTCCCTGGAGCACATCAGTGTCAGACGAACGACGTTACAAAGGAAACGTGTTTCCTCTTACACCATGACCCTTTGGATGATCATTGTCTTTGGTGCTACTCTAGTGGCACCCTTTGATACAGCAACAGAAGAAGACAGCGGAGGTTAGTCGTATTTTCCACTACTGATACAATGTAATCAAATATGTAGTTCAGCTATCTTTACGAAAGAAATATCAGCTTATTTTATCGCCAGATAGAATAAAGATTCCTGTTTAATAGCAGATTTGACCATGGCTTTACTTCTTGAATATAGGCCAATTTAGTATTATCAACTGAGTTGATAGCGTAAATTGGCCATCGTAGAGAGTTTCTAAGCTGACGTTTCGATCGCTAGCCCTTCGCCTATTGCCGACGAACGGCTCTCCACAGATTTTAAAGTCATTAAATATAGACTACCATGTGCGAGCCATAATCCTTTAACTCCCAAGGGTGACAAAGACAAAATTTCTCCCTATAATATCGATACAATTTCAAGCAGACAAGGGACGAGAATAAAGATAAATATCAATTAGAGGTTAATCCATTGATCCAATACCAAATTCTCGACATCGACATCATAAGAATCGTATGAGTAATGAGGATTGCTGACGAGATCTTTGAAATGAAAGGGTTAACGTTGCGAATATAGGCAGCGGTTAAGAAGTGGGGTAACGAAAATAATATATATATATAATAAAATATGTCAAAAATACTAACGTATTACGAAAGGATTTAAGGTTCAGATGCCAATAAAAGACTAAGGTTAACCCTAATGAATTGATAAAATTTCGGAAAATTTCCGAAATCGTTTTTTAAAAAAAAATGAAGAAAATAATAAATAAAAAATATGTTTATTCATTGGTTCCTTTTCCTGGGTGCATTTATCCGAATCTTGTGCGAGGAATATAAAATAATATGCTAATCTTCGCCATATATCATTCCATGCTTGTCACAAGAGGATATTATCTTGAATTACCCCCCTTCTCCACTAACACAGCACCACAGTTTCTTTAGCAACTCATTCCCTCTCTCTTTTTTTTAAATACCGTTGTCGTGAAATACATGGTGAAATACTTCAGTTTACCCCTATAATATTCTTTTAGAACGCGGATGCAAGACTATCAAAAGAGGCGATGAGTCCTACAGTAAAAGTATCAACATTCCTAAGATGAAATGGACTGAAACACCGGCTGTTATTACTAAAGGAAAACGTAATGTTGCTATCCATAGCTGCTCGTTGTACTTTTGAAATAATGAAATAATTCACAATTATTTACCAAAATGGAGATGAATTGAGGTGGATATTTTACCGAGCCACGAAACAGCATAATAAATATCCACTACTTTTACCGAGACAGAAGAATATACCACAAAGAAATTAAAAGAAAATAGTTTATTTCTATTAATAACCAAAATAAAAAATGATCGAAATTAAATTGTTGACGCGCGAATTTATCTCCTCGGCCGCTCGGAGGTGAATAGTACTTGCTAGTCACTTCCAAACCAACCAATCAGCGCGCGCGAATACCACTATTTATCAAATGTTATGGCATGCCAACGTTACATGATTGGTTAAAAGGTTCCACTTTTATCGAATCATTGCAAGTTTCGCATTCTAGAAGAGATTTCACCAGGTGTGATTTCCAAGTTTAAGCCATGCTAAAGACTTACTGTAAATCCAGAGCACACTGAAATTCGTAAATCACGCATCCATTGCTGATTGAAAATTATCTTGTAACTCCAAATGAACATTATGAAAATGAAGTGGTCTAAATTTTTCATTTTCGTGTTTGTTTTATATCAACTTACTTTAGTTTATTTCATTCTACATTATGTATCTACTTCTCGTTTAATCCTATGGCTCTCCTATTTCTAACAGGTAACTATCAGGTTATAGGGCGAGTTGTTCATATGAACTATCTGCAAGAATATTTTGCTGCAAAGAAGAGTATGAAGTTTGGAAACATCCAGAGGAAACCTAATCGTCTTCAACTTGAAGTCCTGGCCGATACTGTGTACATTGAGGTTTGTATACAAAAAAAGTATGAATGTAACAACAGAGGAACTTTCATCTAAGAACCCTTTACTTTTAGCAACGTGCGAATTGGCCTTAGGCATAGTTACGTCACAATACCTAATTTACCACCCTCACATGTCGCTTTCAAATGTGGACTGGTGAATTATGATAGGAAAGTATTCCTAAAACGTTGAAATCAAAGGAAACCCCACGTGAATTCGAAAATAAAGTGAAAGAGACAAAATATCCGTGATATAGACATGTATTTTTACACACGAGGCTTAGGGTAAATTTTTAGTAAATGACATAATCCTGCATATATAAGAATTATTTTTGATGTTATGACGTAAAGACAATTACGTTCTAACGATGCTTTACTCCTTGCTCCTTACAAGAGTAAATCACTCTTTACGCTCAGCCATAGTTCCTTTCACGTGGCCACCCTGAAAACTGCATGTGGAGAGATCTTCCGTGTTTCAAAAATATTGTATACCGAAGATTTTTAATTCTAGATATATTTTATGTTTCTAGATTCCTCAGTCAGTCAATTTTTAGTCAATATTTTCTTATCTTAGCTTAAATATTAAGGTATGGTTTGATTATATTCTTTAACAGGCTTAAATCCCAACATTCACGTGTCAGAAAGAATCAATACATATCCTACCCCAAAAGAAATTGCACAACTATGCTCGAGTAAATTTGATTGGAGAGGCCAACAGCACTCGCGTGAACCACTTATGACAACGAAATACGGCATAAAGACTCTTTTTTCACTTTGTCTTTATCAATTGAGTTAATACAGTTAACTGGTCACCCAAAAAAATACGAAAAACTAATGAATACTCAAATCAATGTTCTTTAATTAGGGCGCTGTCACGATGCGAGGTATCAAAAAACTCACAGTTTATAGCCGCAAAGTTGTTTCCGGGAAAGATAGTAAGCTGGATGTCAGAGCTCCTACTTTGAGGCAGGTATTTAGTGATTTGGCTCCTGGCACTCCTGGAGTAAGAGGGGAAAGTGGCGTAGCAGGACCTAAAGGTACTGGAATAAAGGGAAAAAGGGACCATATTTACTACGGAGGGGAGGGTGGAGGACTTTGGGAAGGATCACATAATTTTCAGGGGAAACGAAGGGAGACCAGTCGCCATCAACAAAGTATAGGTGTGGGGACTAAAGAAAATTGACTGCCAATCAACTGTATGTATGCTATATATCAACTTATTTTGTTGCCCGTTGTGGATCGGGAAGTTCGAGCAACACGGTCAACAAACCGTTTTCTTGATTGAATTAGATTATTCGAAATGATGAGGTCAAAAACGATTTCCTTTGATGATGATAATAATAATAATAATAATAATAATAATAATTAAAATGGTGATATTTTTACAAGCTGCGATCTCACAATGAGTGGTTTTAAGTACAGCCCTGTAGAGAAAATGACAACAACAAAAATACATTTAATTGTAAAAAAAAATTACGGTAATAACAATACTAATAGCAATGATAAAAATATGAAAAAATGAAAATGAAAATAACACCAATAATAATGGAGGAATAAGAAGTGTGAGGATAACTAACAATTAACAATTTTATGCACTGACAATGAGGTAAATACTTGTTTATATCACGATATAGATATACCACGCAGAAACCGAAAAAAACTAGTTTCTTTCTGTCAATGGACTAAAAACTGGGTCGGAAAATTAATTGGTGATCCGCGATTTTATCTTTTCGATTGCTCGAAGTTGAATAGTACTTGCTAATCACTTCCGAACCAGCCAATCGGCACGCTCGAAAAGTAATATTCACCTGTGTGGTATACTTTAATGACGTTTCTGATGACAATGATGATGTTTGTAACGAAAATAGCGACGAGAACAAGAATGTATTTGTTTTTATACTTATGTGCATGTCCTGGAATTCTGATCTAAAAAACCAACGCCCAAGTTATCATATAGTCTCATCCAAATGAAAGTAAAAGCTATACGAGGTCTTGCATTGAATCCTATACATTACTTTGATCTATTAAAAGTGGAGGTGTATACCCAATTATCAGAAGGCCTCATGTTTATAGCGAGCAATGGTGGAAATGGAAATCAAGGGCAAAAGGGTGCTGATGGCAAAAATGGGACTGACAGGATTGACTCGGTATGGTAACGTTATAGTGATAGTTGTTTGATAATATTCACTTATCAGCAAAACTGATATACCTTTACAAAAGAAAGATACCATGCATGTTCTCCACAGTCTGCTGAGACGATACTGTTAAAACACGGTTGTGACGAACTAAATTCCCCTGCGTACTTTAGTTATATCTTATGAGACATGCAAGAAAACCGGCCAAAAATAGTAATTGATTTTCGTGCTGAAATGAACATCTTTAACGATTCTTTTGATCATAAGCTCATGCCAACGGACTCCAGAAAATCATTTCTTCTCGCATTAGACTCTTTACTACCGAATTAGACTCGGTATGGTAACGTTATAGTGTATAGCTCATGCCAACGGACTCCAGAAAATCATTTCTTCTCGCATTAGACTCTTTACTACCGAATTAGACACAATATCATAGCCACTATGCAATGCACCATGCATGCAATGAGGTGCACGGTGGCAGTGCATGGTGACAGAAGGAGGGCTAACTTTTTTAACTGTGACCCTCCTTTGTACAGCTGTTTCGAGCAAGGTTGTCGGAAAGTGATAAAAAGGCTCAAAAGTGCACGCGACAACCCCAAGAGGTATTGCGGGTAACTGTAAGATCACGGCTCCTTGACCTCTTAATTTAAGAGAAATCGGAGAAAACATCTCAGTGAGGACAAGACATCACGGGTTTCGTGAATTTACTTTTCGAGATTGTCGCGTGCACTTTCGTCCTTTTTCCAGACGAAATTTTCTCGAAAAAGCTGTTGATTTACTTGGTCCGAGGAAAGATGTTATTACTTGCGAAATTTGCCATATGGCCTGCAATTTTTCACATAATGTATGGCAAGTAAGCAGCATATGACCGTGTTTAATTGCGACTTTTCGTAGAAACCACCCAGGACATTCGCCGAGTGTAAGAAAAATGACTGCAAAACCGTCTGGGGATATGCAGGAGAAAAAGGAAATCCCGGCAAAGATGGTGGAAATCCTGGAAAATCAGGTACAGAACATATCTTAACTGAAATGTATTTTCAATAAGACTACCACATGCGCAGCATTTTGATAAAAAAAAAAACCTATTATATTTTGGATTGCGCCATGTAAAGATTTCGCCTAAGCAAATAAATGAACAACAGGTTTCAGCACCTTTATCAGACGAGGAACTATGTTCTCGTGGCAGTATATTCATTGGTTAGAAACCCAAAAGCTCTAAAAACCGGAAAATTTTTTAGAGCTAGACACTGAGTGAATCTTAGCCGCTTCATTACACATATAGAGTAATATTGATCAATCAAAATCGTTTCCATTGGTCACAACGAATAAAGGGGTGAGGTAGGAGCCAGGAGAATTAACCAGGACACGTTGGGCACAATAAAGTTGATTTTAATTTTACATCGTGAAAGGAGTCTGTTTCCTTTTTTGGTCACACACAATTTCACTCTTCCAATTAACTGTAACATAATCATCATTTCTTAATGACTTAACGACTAGTCCCGAGAGAAGAAGGTCATTTTGCTTTCCGAGAATAACAACAGTTTCAATTTATCCTGAAGGACAAGTCGTTAATTGATTTGCTATATAGCATATGGAAGAAATTAGAAGACGCTATGTGAAAAAGTAATAATAATAATTGATAAGTTACATCTATGCACATACAATTCAGAACAAAGTTAACGCTCGCCGGTGATATTAGACCGTTACCCCTTCACGTCATAGATTTGCAATGTTATCCACTCAAAATCTTTTAACGAAAAACAATCTTTTTTTGGACGGCAAGTGACTTAACCCTTTAACTCCCAAGATCTTTTTAGTAATTCTCCTTACTGTCTGCAGTACAATTCTTCCGATGTTATTTCGGAGAATTTGGTATTGGATCAACTATTAATCCCTTAATTGATACTTTTCTTGGTTCTCATCTCTTGTCTTCTTGATTTTGTATTGATATTGTAAGGAGAAATTCTGTCTTGATCACTCATAGGAGTGAAAAAGTTAAAGCAACCAATGAAAGCGCGCGCTGTTGGGGCAAAGTTTCACTTTGTAATAATAGTAATTACTTCCATATATATATTTTATAAATAGGAGACGGTGGCGAAGCTGGAAAACAAAGACTATATGTGAATGAAATAAAAGGAAGTATCAAGCTAAAAACATGTCCTGGCCGAGGAGGTGCAGCGCCGGTAAAAGGAAAAGGAGGAATAGGTATGGACTTCAAGATTAGCAGGCAGATAGGGGGTTGTGACGTAACATACCTATCATAGGAGGGGGAGTCAGATGAACGGGGGAGAGGAGGGAAGGGGCATTGAAAAAATCAGCACACATTAGTACTTATGGCCTCTAATAAAAAAAGAACCTTAGGGCATTCCCTTTATTTGTGATAAAATGTATGTTTGTTTAAATCTATTTCGCTCCTGGAGCACAGTTTTGTTTCCTTTTTGCTTTCGTTCTGTTTTGTACTACTGTTTTCTTTTTTATTTATTATTTAGAGTGACTCATTTTTCTTTGCTAAAGAGAAGGAAAATAACAGTTTTCGTTATTTGACCATGATAGTAAACATTATAAATTCTCCATCCTTATTCATCTACGCGCTCGACTCTTTTCACAAGTGGTCCCTGTGTAACATCAACTTCAACTAACAGTTCCCTCCTTGGCCCGTAAGTCTGATGGTCCAAGATTTGATTTCTCGAGGGAGACTCTTGGGGATTCTGGGGGAATTGTCTCACCTAGTGACAGATAACTGACATTTCCATCATTTCTTATCACTCCTGCCAAGCATATGAGCAATTAACGTGGGGAATCAATATGCAAATTTTAATTGCGTAAGCACGGCATTAAGAATCTGGGAGAGCTTGCTTCATCTTAAAGATGGCGGATCAATTGAGGTCGGGAGGACTCTGGAAGGATGATGGCTCTATTTTGTTTCTAGAAATTAGCTTTTCGTTCAATGCCAGTGTATTCTAATTATATTCTTCACAGAATATCAATGACTTCACCATCGTTTCAATTTCATCTTCTCCTCAGGGGGTCTCGGAAGTTTTGGAGGAACAGGGTTTCGATGTGCAATGAGGGAGTCATGTTCAACTAATCAGTTTGACCCTATGAACCCCTCCTGTCACACTTCGTGTGAAAATGATGGTGCCACGGGTAGAGCACGTAGAGGAGGAAGAGGAGATGGTGGAAAAGACGGAAAAAGTTGAGTATACATGAGCCACGCTACGAGGAGGACTCTTTTGTAAATGTCAGACTTTATTGCTCTTCTTTTTCACAACAAGTTAAAAAGCAATAAATTTTTTACCCAAGAGCGAGGCCAGGAAGACTCATACGCATGCCCATTAAGAATCAAGAATAATCACGCCATAAAGCGATTGGCTGGCAAATGATTTACCGATGCCGAGAAAGTATAATAAGAGTAAATCCGAATACTTCTTGGTTTTTACTTTCGTCGTTCATAAAATTCTCGATTATGGAATCATAATGTGATACAACGTCTTTTAACGCAAGTTAAACTCAACGTGTAAGTGGGCTGTTCTGAGAACCAAATAATATCGCATGCAGGCCTTTTTGCACGTGTTCCGTATTGAACGTTCAGCGTGCCGTTTAGCGCACTGACTGAAACACGCTGATAAAAGTTTGTTTGGCCCTGCGTTCACTTAGAATACGTTTTTCTGTGGAGCGTCACAAATGTTCGAGCTAATCCAAAATTGCCAATTTACGCCCATGGCATAGTAGAGAAAGTTTGCGAGTCAGAGGGACAATTCTGACGCTGGATTTTATTTTCAATATAGACTTTAGGCGGAATGCTATATCACCCAGCTTGTGTTTCCTCAGGTCTCCGTTATAGATCTAACCCTATAGGCTACCAAGATACCAAAATTTTGTCTTCCAATGTAACTATATGTCAATATTTTCTTTCAGCTGAAGATCCTGGCGCCCACCGGCCAAATAGATGATACTTATCTTCGTTTATCTGGCCTCTCTAAAAATGCAAATAGCAAATACCCCTTGGCATTGCTGAAAATGATGAAAAGATATGCCGAGGATCGCATTTGGGCAAATGATATCGAGGAAGGCAAAAGTGTGCTGAAGTTCTTAATTACTCTAATGGAAGAAAGAAAGGGTATAAAAGCTATGAAAAAAGGTGAGTTTTCTAAAGGGGCTACTTAACCTTTCTTACATTTACCAAGAGTTTCCTACTCGTTATCTTGAAGGCACAGTCTCCTTGCCGGCCTCTGCAGCAAGAACGAAGTTCTCTGACTTCATGTTGGCTATGGTTATGTGCTGGAGCACAGTTCTCATTCGAGAGGCTTGCAATTTGTAATTTGAAGGATTGCACGGCGGTTATTCGCAAAAAATACATCAAGACTTCAGTGACCCTTACCCATTCCTCCCCCATTCCTCCCCCATTCCTCCCCCATTCCTTCCCCATCCCTTCCCTTAAAGTTAACCCGCTACCGCTCTTTCTCTAATGCATAATGAAGAAAGCAAATATCCAAATGATTTAACAAAACGGTACTAATGCTACTTATATTCCTGTAGATTCAAAAAGAAAGCTAGGTTTTCTAGGCAAAGAAGGATTCGACAGATTTGGCAATAATAAACTGTTTGCCCCACTGATGAAATGGGAACGCTAAAAAAGGAAAACGCTGAAATCATCGAAAAATACGCCAAGGAATACCAAGACGCTTTTAACAGCGTTACAGGTTCTATTAGACAGAAGGAGGAAATTACTGACATACTGAAGAAGTTAATCCCAAAGGCAACCAGAATACAGGTTAGCAATCAAATCAAACGACAGAAAGCGGCAAGAGCAGTGGATGAAAGCCAAAAGAGGCTTTACGTCGATGTAAGTTGACGGTAAATGAAACTGAGTTTTCAATTGTGTTTACGTTTGCTTTGGTTCTAGGCCATGAAGATGTAAACATTTGGACTGACTAAGAGGGATTGCTTCGTAGATAACTGTCCTTTTTTGAGATGTACCTGTTTTTCGATATAATATTATTTTTCTTTCATCGCAAATTCTATTCTATCCATTTATTCATACCTTTCTTTACCTACTCATTTAATTATTTAATCATTTACCTACTCATCTACCATCCATCACTCATCCATTAATCTATTTATTTGTTCATTTATTCAATAGTTTATTATTTAGTTACTTCATTTTTCGTATATTTCTTTAATTGATATTCATCAACCGTTATTTCAATAGCTATGACGAAGAGCTAACGCTCGAAACGTCAGCTTTTAAACTCTTTATGGTGGCCAATTTACGTTATCGACTCAGTTGATAATACTTAATTACTCCATTATTTTGGTAGTTTCAATTGATGCTGAATGCGTTCTAATCTTATTTTTTACCCGTTTAGATCATCGCTCAAGTAGAATTACGCCTTGTAGGTACTATGGAGACGATTAAGGCACTACTGGTTGATTTACAAGCACAAAAAAACATGCAGCATCTCTTTGCAATGCTCCAGGGATTAATAGGCTTCGTGAGTGCGGTTGGAGGAAAAGATCCAATGGGTGTACTTAGTTCCAGCTTCAGCCTCATTGAGAATGAGGCTCTGAGGTGCAATAGAGGAACACTTCAACAGAACAAGGCAAAAATAAAAAAATGGTTGAAATTTGGAAAGGCGTACGAAGCTCTGGAAGATTCTAGTGACTTGAATTTTGACAAAATGGACATACGATCTGTTCCAGATATGATGAAGGTAAAATAATGCATATAGCTTTTATTTTAATGAAAAATTTGTTTTAAGCAAAGACTTAGAGAATCGCTTCCATTGTCGCTTAATTGTGCATGCTTTCTAAAACTGCCGTCACTCAATCAACACAACCACATTCCATGAGGGTACCATGATTAGTTGTTCTGTCGTTTATCGGTGGAACTCAAAGCTGGCATGTTGGTGATCCAATGGAGATGAAGCTAAATCAAACACTGACTTAAAAGCGTACCGATTTAAACTTACAAGTACCATCACGCTTATGACCACATTCGTGCTTTATCGCTCTCCACCAACACAGGCAGATCTGGAAATAAACAATGAAGGGCTTCTAGCAGACCTGGTTTGTTTGCTGGATGTTGATCTTCCACCACACGTGACGGCAACTTTTAAGAGCGAAATCGAGAAATTCTTCATCGATGGTGGAACAAGGATTGATCTCATTGCGCAGGTCATGGAGTTAGACAACAACATTGGCACATATAATTACGACATCGCCAATTTAAAAGAAACTCAAAAGCAAATTCAAGCAGTCAATAAAGCAAAGGGTAAGAATTCTGTTCTTAAGAAACTTAAGAAGTGGATCCCGGAGATCTTTCGTGTTCCGACGTTATGCGCGTAAGGGGAGCTCTATACGTAAGAAAATAATGATATCGGTGTGGCAATCTTCACTGTTGCCTTAGCATAATAACAATGCGTTGCTAAGACCTACAATAAGTCTTAAATAGGAAATTATATCTGACCCTAACGCGTACAGGCTGAGTGACAACTTCACCGACGTTCAAGGAATGGAAGGTTGATAGACCTCCCCTAAGAATTTCGTCTTCTTTCCATATTCCTCAGTGGGTGGCAAGTTATTCAGTGTTCAAGTTGAGATAACAATGGGTATTAAAGTTTATATTCGAAGCAATAGAGGCTTGTGACGTAGACATTTTTTATCATTAAAACTTTTATGAACACCTCTCTTGACTATTTTTCAGATACCCCAATAGCTGACAGCATACGACAGGAGTTTCTCGATAACCTTTTGAATATCTATGAAGAACTGGAAACCAGTTTTTCCAGGCAGCTGTATTTGTTCTACAAGGGTTTTGAGTTCCGGTCCTTGTGGAACATGGACGAAAAGATGGCAAGGTTTCAACGTCGCGCAGCAACCCTTGCAAAAGGCACCGGATATCTTCAAGGAGTTAACTCACTGAATCGTGCTTTACTGGAAATAACAAATATTGAAATGGCAGCTAGAAGTTGCTTTACCAGTAAAAAGCCCAAAATTGGCATATACAAATGGTCCTTTGACAAAATGAAAGATCCAACGGTATGTTTCAAGCTTTACTCCTACCTAAACTTATTGCGCCCTACTGCAACTCACACAGGTGCAGCTAACCTGTCAAACAGGCCTTTTTACAATAAAAAATAACCAACTTTCTAAATATCTGTACAATGTAGCGGAATACTTAAACGCTTAATTTCTACTCTGCTTAGTGCAGTTGGATGATTAGAGTCAGTTCCCGCAAAATATCGATATTCCGTGAATTCTCTTAACTGCGGTGTACTGCAGTCAATATTTATCTCTGGGAGAGAGGTGGGAGGATTTTGGTTGTGTCACAATATGATTTACCTGATCCGGCCCATAAGACTTTGTAATATTCTTCGGAACAATTCATCTTTCACCCTTCCCACCCTCAAGGCGAATAATATGCACTGATCCTCTATTCCTCGCGTTTTTTAACACGCTGTCTTACCTTTGATAATCAATATTTATCCCCACAGTGTTAATGTTTAGCACTACTTATTAGCTACGAAGTATTGTTGTGCTTGATTCGCTCATATCCTTTATCTAGATGTTCAAGGAGTTGTACGAAAGCTACACGACCTTTACCTTGGATATAGATCAGGCCTGTAGAGATTGCTACAATGTGCGCCTCCTAAAGGTACATAAACACAGAAATGTTAAAGCAAGGTGGAAAAATTAAGAAATTTCTATACAACAAGTTGCATGCACATTGATAATTGATAATTGCTGATAATTTTGCAAAACAAAACAAAATATAACTGATCGCATGATGGAAGGCCGAAGAGTATTTGATTTAAACAATCCCTATTTCCCAACAAAAAGACTGTTAGCGTTTCACTCTTAGTTTATAACTTTATTTTCTAGTCAGATTCGATAGTACATATGGTTTTCCCATTACCTTACAATTTAACAGTTAGATTTTTACACTAAGATTTTTATTGCGTGATGGTAGAAGAGTGTAAGTTCGAATCAGCTTCCGTGCGTGGAAATCGAGAAGCAATAATCTAATCGTTTAGTTTAAATCTACTAATCGTCAAAAACTTGATTATAAGACAGGCTCATGCACACGCTTTTATTGAATAATGATAAAAATAGCTCACAGCATGTGCTACTCACGTTACACACCATCTACTTAATTAGATTGGTTCTTACAGATGTCCTTACCACATTTTACGTGTTCTGTGATCTATTTTTGTTCAGACTCACAGAAACATAGAATCTATTTGTTTTGTATGATAAAAAAACACATGGTGACATCATCTATGCGTCTATCTTGCAATATATCATAGGAAAGAACCAATCAAAATGCATGTATGAACGAGCTTATCATATGAAACGGAATAGACAGCGGGTAGCGTAACCAATCATACTACGACTGATATAAGCAAAGTATGAAGTAAATGTAAATGACTCGCTAAAGAGAGTTTTAGGCGTTAACCACGAGAAATTTTGACAGCAATGATCAACTGAATAGAAGGATACACAGGACGATGATTCAAAAACTGAACTTTCCTTCACAGTGTTCACATTTCTTATCTTTCAAAGATGTATGTGGAGCTATACGGTAAAGCCCAAGATCAGAGCGTCCCAGACAAAGTTCGTCTGAAGCTCAAACCACTGAGCAGGTCCTACTTTAGAATTGGCGATCAGATTAAAGACTTTCATCAACCGATAGCCTCTTGGAAGTACTTACATTTCGACCGTTTCAAGATAACTAATAAAGACAAGTGTAGACAGGAAAAAGAACATGGACGGGGTGAGTGGCTGGATATATTTTGAATTATTATATTAGTAATGGTGATCCAGACCACAGAAAATGTCCCTGGAACAATGTCTATCGTATTCAATCATTTGACCTTGCGTGATGGGTAAAAAATCTAGCGCACCGCGAGCTGGTGTTTGTAGGAATGGAACTAAGCTCCTCCTTAAGAACAATTGCGCATGCGTTACTAAGATTTCATATAAAGCCCTCATTATCTAAAATCAGGTGTTAAATATAGGTCACTTGAATAATCATATGACTCACCTCTTTCAAACTTAGATGGCGGTTTTTACTGTATGGCAAAACACGACACGCGCCTGACAGAAATGTGCTGTCACCCGCTCATCAGCGCACCTTGTGATGATGCTTTAACGGGAGAGGAAGAATGTCGCAGTGTATTTGGGACGTACAACATTTCCATACCAATCGATCAGACACTAGATTGCAGACGACAAATCACTTACAAAAACTGCAAAAGCCTGAAAGTAAGCCTCCACATCTGGCTCCAGCTGTTTGAAGGGTGGATAACGCTATCCAATGGATGGCGAAAAACGTCTTGTAAACAATTATCTAGCGGAAACTCCTACTGAATGGTTGGGACCTGGTAAAGAGAGAAAGGAGAGGAGTTGAGATAGTATGAGGGGGTCTAAGTACGATTATTCAGGAAGGAGAGGGACCAGTTATTATTCATCGCCTGGGAGGGGAGGATCCGAGGATTATTAGGAGGATCACAAGGCTTCCAGAGGGTGATGGAGAGGGGAAGGGCGATCACTAGCAGAGTATAAAGTAGGGAGTGTAGAAAATTGGCACTCAGTGGGTAAGGTCATAAAAATAACAGAGCCTTGGGGGGAAGGGGGGGTCGGGTAATCTTGTACTGAAACAGCCAAAATCCTTCGACTACCCATACCCCCCCTCCCTCCCCCCCCTTCGCCTTCCCGTTGTAATTTTGACCATTTAACGCCTACAGCTTTTTTTTTTCCTACAGCTTTTTTTTTTACGACTCATTTGTGTGTCGAGGCGAAATATATGTATATTTTTTTTTCTGCGGTGAAGATTACTTACCTTATACCGATTCAAAAAAATATAGAACGATTTCATTTCTTATCGTTTTTTTTTTTTTTTAATTCTTTCTTTTTTTCAGCGAGAACTATTCACTCACATGAATGTTTGGACAACCTTTATGTACTGGCCTGAAACATACCCACAGACACCGGAGGATTGTGGGATTCAAAAGCGCAACGTGACAGTCGAGGCTGATGTTGAAGAGCTCGATTCTCCACTTGTCTTGAAACGTGACGCCGATGTTAATTAAAACAAAGGCAAATAAGTTCAAGAGATGATTCCTTAATCGTCCATAAAAGGAAAGGGATGCATTTCCAGCCGAATAAATAAACAGACAAATTCAAAGATAACTGTTGTATTTTTATTTGTTTTTCGTTTGCTTGATTTACAGTCTGACTAATGAAACCATCCTTCATGTTGCAATCCTTTTCTCAAGGAATCAATGTGTTATATTAATTTCTACGATGAAGCTGGTAGATAACAATCCCTTTTGCTCAACTCTTTATAGATAGAGAACATAAACGTCTGAAAACACCTTATGGATACATTGGCGGAAACAGTACAAGATATCATTCTTCCTTAATCAACAACCCAACTGTATACTCTCCAGGTGGACTACAATTCCTTATTTAGTATCAGTAGCAATTTTTTGGATCCCTAAATTAAGATGACAAAATTTCATAAAACAGGAGTTAGGCTAAAGCGATCTAAATATAATGATTCATTGATCAGTGATGACGCTCCGATAAAAGAAGAATGTCGAACTGTATTTGGACCGAACGCCATTTTCATACTGATAGACCAGCTTTACTCATCATACCAATGATGTTGAGACAAGCTTAAGATTTGTGGCATTTAATTGTTTTATTTTGTGAAAAAAGCACTTTCATCTTTGGTATAGAACTTAGAATATTGTTCACTCAATGAAAGAATGTTTTTTGTGTGATGGTTCACTTTCGGCGCCAGGTTTAAAATTGTAAAGGTAAAAATAAATTAATTCCCGAAGTGGTTTTACTTTGAAATTTGTTTTTACTCCCAAAGAGAGTAAAAAAAAAATTTTTTGCAAGTTATGAAACAGTTAAGTAATAATTTATCAAACAAACAATAACGGGAAAAGATGTCTCTTAAGGGAGCCATGGGCTGGGAAATTTATGTCAATTATGTCACCTTAAACTTCATCTCTTTAAACGTTCATATACAAGTAAGAACCATTCGATTATTGTTCATTATTAAATTGTTCCCTTGATGACATCAGCGTCAGAAGAACGTTTTCATAAGGGAGAAGTTTCTTCTTTGTCTTCTATGACACAATGAACCTTTGGAGAATTGTGTTAACTTTTGTTTTATTAGGAGCCGGTAAGTCTTATCATCCGTCTCCTACTTGTAACACAAGTCCAACAACCGAGATTATTTTTTACAAAGGAAATATTAGACTAATCCATTTCCCAATGAAATAACGGCCCCTTTTTGATGTTAGGTGAAAAAATGGGAAATCAAACCTAATGTTCAATTTTGAGCTGCAGTAAATTAAGGAAAGTGTGGATCAATATTTGACAGAAGTTGCCCCTAAATTATGAAGGAAATCCAAAAAAAAGGCCAAAATCGCTTGCAAGAGAAAAATACAGAAAAGAAAGAAAACAAGTTACTTTACAGGTGTGCTTTGTGAATTAATAGAAGTCTGAAAAAGTCCTTAACTCACGTTACGGAAAAACGGTGGGGCAAGCAGTCATACCTGGAAACTTCAAGAGAAGATATAAGAGGAGCCCACACGATTCTGACATATTGTTTTACTGACTCACTGTGCTAATGTGTATACACTTCGATCCTCATTGTTCAATGATGTCTTTTCATCGTGAAAATTGTCTTTGCTCTTCTCTTTCTTCTATGTAAAATAATTTAAAAACTACTATTTACACAGGTTCATTTGAACTTTTTTTTCATTTAAAAATAAAGTATTCCTCGGTACATTTTCAACTATAAAATGAAATAAATAATTCAAATAATCGATCAAAGCCGAAAATATTTATGTATATTGACAACAATAGAGATAAAAAATGAGAATTTATAAAAACTGAAAGTAAGGATTGAAAAGAAAAGGCTATACTATAGCAGCACAATATTTAAAGCAACGTTAATATAAGTAGCAGAATGAAGGATTCTTTCGAATTCATGTATAATACGTTTTTTACCTAATGTGTGTGCATAACAAAGTTACATGGTCAAATCATGCAAATTTTCTATTGTCCGTAAGAGTGTTCGCATGATGTTATTCTGACCATAACATGTTTGGCATCACGTGATTGCTCGTTTCGTTTCGTGTGTACCAAGGTACATTGTCCATTGAATGAAGTCCAAAGACACGTCGTTGAAGATACAAATTGAATGCTAAATTCTTCCAATTTTATCAGTTCTATGAGTCTAACTCCATTTGATCCTGACGTCTCAAATTAAGACAATCTACAATGTCGTTGTTGATGTCCGCTAATCCTATTCTAGTCAGTGCCACCATGGCTCTTCTGATAGTAGCTGATTCGCCATTCTCTTCGTACCATCTTTGTAGAACTTGATAACAGCATTCTCCACATTTATCTTGCTGTTCCACAGATATCGCATCAATTATTCCATCTTCAAGCCCCAGCTCTCTTGCAAGGTTTTTCCAATGATACTCCGCTTTTTCTAATACAATTTTCTTCACGTCCGAATTTGTCTTCAATGATTTGCAAACAGCATCTTTACCTAGAAGGGCGCAAAGGAATATGATAAAAAATTCCAAATGGACTGCGTGCATTCTGCCTTTATTATCAGATCAGAAACCTGCCACTAACTGATTAACTTCTTGTATCACAAACCCCACTCCGAGAGCAAATCAACCAAGCTTAGCCCCTCTGCGATCTAGACGCTGTTAAACCTGGACATGATTGCAAAGTATCAAGGGAGACTCACCGTAAACTCCCCTCTAGTTCCCAGGCTGAGCCCAGACCTTGGCAAGATTAATTTCCCTGGGACTAGGTCGGGGCTCATCCCTGTGGTCAGAAAAGGACAAATGCGCAAGACATTTCTTTGAACGTAGAACCT